GGAAGATGAATAGTGGTCTGCCACATCTATTCATCTCCATCCCTTGCCTTTTATCCCCAGAGCTAGGGTGGGGCTTCATTAGCAGCGGGGGCTCTTCCTTCCCAAGGATCGGCCCATGGATTTCCACTACTCTCCTCTTCTCTGCTTTCTGCGCATCAGGCACTGGACCCAGCAGTTCCTCCTCTTGGTCATCAGCCACCTCCAGACCTGGGGGCTGTTGACTCTCCATCTGGGGGCTGAAGGACAGCCCAGGCTCTGCCTCTGCCTCTGTCTCTCTCTCTCTGTCAGCTCCATTCCCTCTTCCCCCTCAGAACTCTGAGGTTGCCTTGATGCTGTCCCTGACTCCCACACTGCCTCCTCCTCCTGATTTGGCTGCTGGAGGGACCGGCAGCCAACAGGCCACAACAGCCTTTTCCTTTAAACCAGGCATGTCTAACGTTTTGGCTTGCCTGGGCCATATTGAGTGAAGAGGAATTAAATTGGGTCACATATAAATATATATGGGACAAATAGGTATAGGTACAGGTATAGGTATATATGTATACAAACACACACACACACACACACACACACACAAGGTTAAAAGTTTATGATCTTATAGGGCTGCATTGCTAGCTGTCCAGTATCACACTTGGCCCGAGGGCTTCAGGTTGGAGATGCCTGCTTTAAGCTATTGCAGTTTCAACATTTTTTCTATTTCCATGCCATTTATTAGGCTTGCTTCAAAATAATCAGAGCATATATAAATAAGTGAGAGTCACTGCAGCACAAAATTAATGTAAATGAAATGACAATGACATGGCAAGAATTTATATATATGTCCTTCAAGCAGGGTAATTCTTTAAGACAAGCACTGCACAGGACAAAGCAATGGACAGGGTTAGGGTTAGGCCTGGACAAAAGCTACATATGATTTTCTTTAACATAGTTAAAATTACATTTGAATTAATTAAATGGTAAAATTACACATTTAATTTTTTGCCTTCTGATACAATGCAAAAAAAGGGATTCCCCGTGTTCATTAGCAGCTTCATTTGTATTTGAGGACTCAGTATATACCTTTGCCTTAATAAACATGTTATCTAACAGGCAGCTCTCGGGATTATGCAACTCTAATCTCTCACTGCATTTAATTTTTGAATGGTTGATCTATACCGAGCTTCTTTCTCTTTTCAAGTTTAGACAACTGCCAAGCAATGTTCCCTCTAATTTTTTTTTCCGTGTGTGCGGAAAAATATAGTGTTCAAGCAGCACATTTTCATGCCTGAGCGCCTGAATTTTTTTTAGCCATAATTGCCATCAGAGCAGGTGTTGGGAGGGGGACAAGGACGAAAAGGGTCCCCTCCCTCTCCCTCAGACCCCTAGGAAGGAAGGGAGGGGAGGGGGAGGAAAGGAAAGAAAATGGGAAACAAGAAAAGGAAAGGAAAAAGAAAGGAAGTTAGAAGAAGGACAGAAAGGAAAAGGAAAGAGTGATTGATTTCACCAATCAGAAATCAGAGTTCAGAAGGGAGGGAAGGGGGATATTTTCAGTCACATTTAAAGACATTAAAAAACACTGCGCTGTAGTTTGAAACTTGTGCGCGGTGTTTTTTTGTTACCTGCGCGGCCGCGCA